CCCTAAACCCTAAACCCATGATGATGTGTCATAGAAGCGTCTTCGAATTGTTCAACCCCTTTGAGCCCCTAGCCCTGGGTTTCCCCCCTTCCATGCCGTAGCACTTCAATCCGAAGACGTAGGCCCTAAACCCGAAAAGGAATCCTAAATAGGGTTTAGGGTTTAGATCCCCAAAGGGTTTGGGGTTTAGGCTTAAGCCTACAAGCCCTAAGGCTCCAAGTAGCCCAAAGAAGGTACCATCTAAAGACTTTCGACTCCAAACTCGGTACTATTTGCATGCTTGGAGCCCTAGAGAAGGACCACAAAAATTCCTATGCCCTACCTAGACCCCAAAGAACCTACCTTTTTAAGGACTTATATAAGGAAACCGTAATAAGGAACCCTGAAAAGGGAGGTTCTTAAGGGTCCAGGTAAACCTTACCAGCCCCAATACAGAAGCCTTAAAAAATTCCCAACATTCTTCCTTAGGGGGTCCTTATTTTACCCTAAGGCTCCATGTACCCATATAGTAGATACTTAAGCCTTAAAGTAGCAATATAGGGACCCCTTTAAGGCCTAAGTATCTACTACAAAGGTACATGGAGCCTTTGGGTTAACTCTACTATAATGGAGCCTCAAAACCCTATTCTACTTATTAAGGCCCCTACATGACTCAGTCATTTTCCCAAAGGGTCCTAGATACTGTTATGGGGGATACTTTCCCAAATCATAATAGCAATTCCTAATATAGAAATCCTACATGCTACTATATAGGTACTTTGGACCCTTTGGGTTTCAGGTCATTTGGAGCCGGTGCGGCTGTTGGGCCGCGGCTGAGGGGAACCGTTCGGCCCACGAAGGGGCGAGGCTGAGCTAGATCATCGGGTTTGTGAGTTTGGGTTTCTGAATTTCTGAATAGCCCCTAGACCCTAAACCCTACCCCCTAAACCCCTCTAAACCCCCTCGAAACCTCTAAACCCTTAAACCCCAGACTTAATACGTTAAAGCACCAACGTAGTTGGGGGCCTGAGGGTCATACGGTATTACGCTTCCCAGACCACCAAAAGGATCTAAAAAATAGATCCCCTAATTTGGGACCCTATACTACTAAGGGGTACTTTAAAGGAACCACCTTAGGGGATCTATTTTTTAGATCCTTTTGGTGGTCTGGGTTTGGGCACCCAACAACTCAGCCTTGTCTCTTTTCGCTGCTCTTCGGACTGGCAGTGCCTTGTGCTATTGCAGCAGATACTGCTACGTTACCCTAAGGGTCCAAGTACCGAATAATCATATACTCTCCCAAATAGTAACCTACATAACTACTATCCGTAACTTAAGTACCTGATTATTGGGTCCTTTGGACCCTTGGGGTTACAAGTGCTTCGATTCTTGTTGCTACTACCATTACAGTAACTCCTCTATGTCTTATTCGTAAGGTTTTAGTACTACTGGTGCGATTGGCAACATTACTAGTGCTACTAGTAATACTCTTGTCACTAGTCTTACTATTCCTGCTATTGTTGCCGTTGCTACCATTGCTACTTTTACATCGATCATTCTTATTGTTAATGTGGCAGAAGCTACATGGTCCGAAAACCCCTCGTCTCGATTCCAGACTGCAGCAGCACTCGCACGGACAGACGTCGATTCGCACTAGCGAAGCGGGAGTGCGAGTCGAGTCGAGCCGAAGACTCGAAGTAGCGCTGAGGGCGAGTTTATTGACTTTGTGTCGTCTGCTCGGTGTACTTGTTTCGCTATTGCCTTCGCGTGGCTAGACATGAACCTACACGAAGGCATGCTTAGGTTGAGCAAGATTCGAAATTCACGCCATGTGCCCTTGGCCCCGTGTGGACTTGTCCGGGGGGCCGTGCTTCCGAACAAATGACTCAGGAAGCATTTGCACAACAAGTCTCATAAGTGGTTCAGTTCTGTTCAACCTGCCACATACTCCCTAAATCCTAAAACCCTAAGCCCTGAACCCTAAGCCCCTAAACCTTAAATTCTAAACCCTAAAACCCTGAACCCTAAACCCGTTTGTTTCGGAAGCGCCTTGCTCAACAGATCCAACTTGCAGTGCGCTGCAGTACAGCAGGTGGTCCTCGACAGAACCAGTGAATCAATGCGATCTCAATGCTGATCTTGCCGGTGAGTCTTTGCCTCCTTTGTCTTAGTTCTCCAAAACCCAAACTTTCAACTTTTTGGGTTCTTAATGTAGTAGTAACCTCAAAGTTTAAACTTTTACTTCCCTGGCTTATTGGGGAAGCGCGTTATAGTAGAGTTATAATAGCGAACCCTAAGGAATAATATTGGTAAGTATTTAGGCTTCTATATAAAGGGTTCAGGGTTTACGTAGAGGATCAGGGGATTTGGTAGGTTAGGGTATAAGTACCGTACTTGGGTTACAAGAATTTATAACGCTCAGGTTTACCGCGAGTATTACTAACTCCCATGGTCCTTTAAGTAGCGGTTTAGGGTTTAGGGTCTAGGGAAACCCTAAACCCTATAACCTTGAAAGGGCCACTAGACAGGTTGAGAGGCAGCATTGATGCAAGCATCACCATGCTACCGAACATGGATGAGAGCACCCACTGCAAAAACAAAAGCATGGATCCGGGTTTAGGGTTTAGGATTTAGGGTCTAGGGTTTAGGGTTCAGGGGCCTGTTTCTTGCTCCGACTTTTGCAGACCCGTGTGGAGCTTCAGCACATGAACTTGCTTCAGTTGTTTTATCATTTTCTCAGCCGCAGCAAAGAGCTTTCCTGAGCAAGGCCTCCTGATGAGAGTGTGATCGGTTTAGGGTTTAGGGTAAGAGCGGTTCAGCAGTTGCGCTGGCTGTCCTTCGCTTGTTTGTCGAGAGTGCTGTCTACCCTCCTGATTGGACGCCATGTTCCAATGCCGGATGTGTTCGGAAAATCCATTCAGCGGCTTGGTGGCAAGCTGTTCGGGAGCGGCAATGACTTTGTTTGCGATCTGTACGTAGCCCGACATGGTAGACATGAAAGAAAGCGCTAAAAAAAACTTATAAACCCAAAGCCCTGTATTAAACCCTATCTTAGCAGTGACTAGCTGAGGTGCCATGATGGGTGATCCTCCCCGCAAGAGTGAGGCGGACAGTCCAGGGTCAAGAGAGGTCAAGAGGCCCCTTCATTAAGGAATATATCGTCCAGTGTAGGGGCTTAATGACATCATGGTATGCGTTATGTGCCTTAAGCAGGGACGAGATCTTACCCTAAACCCTAACCCTGATTTTGGGCAAGTTCCTTGTTCTGCAGGAGAAGAAAAAGAAGAAGGGAACCGGAGAAGGCAAGGCCAACAGCTCTGAAGGGTTTCTGCTTTTAGGGGGTTTAGGGTTTAGGCGTTAGGGTTCAACGTTTACGAGTTTAGGGGTCTAGGGTTTAGGGCTGGGGCTTTAGGGGTCCCGGGTTTAGGGCTTAGGGGTTTGGGGTTTAAGGCTTTAGGGTTTCAGCTGCCCAATGCGGTCTTCAAATCCTTGTGAAGAACACATTCTATTTGGTCTTGCTGACATGGATTTCGCCTGTCCTTTGCTCTGACGAGCCACTCTTCAAGATAAGGTCCTAGTCGAATGATCACTCTGGGGTCAGGGTCATCCCTGCGTCAAAGCTGCAAGTGCCCTACCACCCAAATCCCTAAGACCAAATCCTTAGACCCAAACCTTAACTCCTAAGGCTTTCAAGGCTTACAGCCACCCTAATTTAGGGGCTGTGGTGACGTCGTACATTTCGCCTGGCGAGCGGAGCGTGCCGCGAGAGTGGCGCACTTGGCGTGCAACGTGCTTTCCTTGGGTGGCCTGTCCGGAAACCCAAATAATTAGGGTTTAAGGTTCAGGGTCCCCAAATACCTTCGAAGGTGAGCATCCTGCCATGAGCATCATTGGACCCAGCGAGCGCGGTCGCGCGCGACGCGCAATGTGCTTCCTTGGCCGTTCCGAAGCCCCCAAAAAGCCTCCTGAGGCGAGCCTCAGGAGCATCGTAGCAGCCCCGTTTCTGTTTCCTGAGGCCACAATCCGCAGGCAGGAACGGTTGATGGACAAAATCCTGCATGACCTTAAGGACCCTAAACTATGGGAATTATGGTATATTCCTTATAGTAGGTAATGCAGGATTTTGTCCATCAACCGAAGGAAAGTCCTATGAAGCCTTACCACACCCTATAAACAAGGCCCTAAACTCTGGAAACTAGGGCTCGCAGGCAAGAGGAATCCACAAAACAACACTTCTAGAAACCCATACAATGCTACAGGGACCTTTTAGAGCCCCATAAAACTATATGAAAGCAGCATCTTACTAAACCCCTAAACTCTGAACCCTAACCCCTAAAGCCCCATAGAATCATCGGGAGATGCTCGAACACCCCATATAGATTTAGATAGCAGGGTCCCAATCCTTGAAACCCCATATCCTAATCCCTAAACCCTGAATCCTAAACCCTAAACCCTAAACCCTAAGCCCTAAACCCTAAACCCTAAACCCTAAACCCTGAATCCTAAACCCTAAATCCCATCCTAAAGTTCGCAGGGAAGAGGAAGTCGGTGTCCAAACGGGATATGAGCGCCTTCAACGCCCGGTCCGAAGCCGAAGTGCCTCTCGGCTAGGTCCCTAGAGGAAGACGTGCCCTACATCCCATAGGGCTCCTTTAAAGGAGGGTTTATGGTTTAGGGTTTAGGGTTCAGGGTTTAGGGTTTACGGTTTAGGGTTTAGGGTTTAGGGTTTAGGGTTTAGGGTTTAGGGAACTACTTGGAGGATTAGGGGACTTAGTAAGTAAGGTTGTAAGCACCTCAAGTGGGGTCATACGCAAAAATAAGGTAGTGTTACCGCATCTACAAACAGAGTTAGTAAGTCCCATGATCCTTTGCATAGGGTTCTAGAATAGGGTTCCTTTAAGGGTGCTTTGGGGCTCTACAACTGGGTCTTCTGTTAAAGTTTAGGGTTTAGGACTTTGGGTTTCGACTTACGGTTGAGGGTTGGATGCAGGGTTAGGGTTCAGGGTTGTGAGGGTGTGTTTAGGGCTTTGAGGGCTTAGGGTTCAGGGTTGTGAGGGCGTGTTTGGGTCTTTGAGGGTTTAGGGTTTTGAGGGCCCACCATCCTAAAGCAATCCGAGTGCCCCTCAAAATCCTTGAGCCCCCTACAACCCAGCCCTCACAACACTAGATCCCTTTAGAACCCTGCTAGATACCCTTAAACCCTAATCCCGAAGTCTTTTATAGATACCCAGTTACCTTAAACCCTCTTTGAACCCCTATAGCTACCCAGTTAAAGAAACAGTAGTTGAGGCAGCCATGAAACCCTAAACCCTAAACCCTACTTACAGGATCATGGGACTTAGTAGTGAGGGATATAAATACGGTATCTATATACGATTATTATACTTCTGACCCCAACTAAGGTACTTGTAACCTGACTTACTAAGTCCTCTGATCCTCCAAGTAAACCCTAAACCCTTAATATAGAAGCCTAAGTACTTACCAATATTATTCCTTAGGGTTCCCGATTATAACTATATACTATACAGGAGCTAAAAACCCTATTCTCATTATGAAGGCCTATACATTACCCCTTCCTGAGTTTTACATCGTCTTCGTCTCAAACGTCCTGCGCCGGCCCAGAGTTGGGGGTTTCAGGGTCAACGGTTTGGCATTCCTCTGACGGATACAGAGAAGATCGAGAGGGGGTTCTACAAGTTTGTTATAAGGGGGTTTCCATAAACCCTAAACCCGAAAATAGGGGACCCTGATATAGTACCCTAAATAGTAGGGTCCCTATCATAAGGACCCCAAAAACAAGGTACTTGTACCCCTTATGTTCGAAAACTCCGTTAAATAAGCCTTTGGGTTTCTGTCAGGGACCCAGGGAGTTCTAGGGGGGACCGTTCAGTCTGTAATGCTTCCATAAGGGTCTAGGGTTTAGGGTTAAAGGTTCTCAGAACCCTGAAACCTAAACCCTAAACCCCAAGCCCCAAGAGGGCCTAGGCTTTGGGATGTCGGGTTAAAGGGGCAGGATGGAGGATGTAGGGTCAACGGTGGGGTAGGGTTTTGGGGTTTACTGTAGGGTTTAGGGTTTAGGGTTTAGGGTTTTAGGGTTTGGGGTTTAGGGTTTTAGGGTTTGGGCTTTCCCCTAAACCCTAAACCCTAAACCCAGGGTTTAGGGTTTTAGGGTTTAGGGTTTAGGGAGGGTCTTGCTTGATCGAGGGTCAGCGACTATGAATGGGGTCATAGCCGTAAAGCCGACAGTCAACATTTTAAGGGATACTGTGGATGATACAAATTCTGCATGAATTACCTCAAGGGCCAACTATGGGAATTATGGTAAATTCCCTCTTAGATGGGTAATGCAGGCTTATAGCATCAAGCCCCTAAACCCTAAACCCTAAACCCGAACGTATTAAGGCCCCTACGGTATCAACCGTAGCGTAGGGGCCCTCGGCTTCTGAAGAACGAAACTTCCCGCGAAATTTCCAGGAGGGAGGCGGTGGAGCGCTGGAAAGAGCGGCCTGTCAGAAGCCCTGTAGCTTACAGGGGCCTAGGGTTTAGGGTTTAAGGTTTAGGGTGTAGGGTTTAAGGTTTAGGGGTTTAGGGTTTAGGGTTAAGGGCTTAGGGAAGAAATATTGTTTTGTCCACGTTGGGTTTAGGATTCCCAGGGCTTCTATTTAGGGTTTGGAGTGTAGGGTTTAGGGTTTAGGGGTTTAGGGTTTAGGGTTCCTAGGTTCCCCAGTAGTGCCCTTTTGCACTTTTTTCTTTTTGGGTTCCCTTTATAAAACCAAATAGTGGGAAAAAGGGTACCCTTATTATTTAGGGGCTACTGAGGAACCTAGGATCTAGCCTCCTGTAAATGCAGGGGCCTAAATGATTGCCAATACTGTTTTGGGGGGTTCCTTATTATAAGTATAGTATAATGCTATATGATTACCTTGCTTTGGCGTTTAGGGGCTTACTGCAGGGTTCGATATGGGTTATAAAGATAGGGGTTGTATGAGGGTAGCTCTGATTCAGCTTTAGTGTAATAGTCCCTCAGTTTCAAGGTTTCCGAAACTCCTGCATGAGCTGGTGTAGACATGCAAACCCTCACGAAGTGCCATCAATATACCGAAAAATAGATAGGCCGCATACTATTGTACAAAGACATATATATATATATATACACATCTCTCTCTCTTTCTCTATCTCTAAGTATTCAAGACACACAGAGACACACACACACACACACATGCATGTACATACATACTCACATCCGTGGGCGCATGTGCTCGTGTACAGGTGCGGACAAGTTTTAGGTGCATGTAATTACAGTTAACTGTATCTGTGCATGCAGGCATACACTGAACAAAAACGATTGCAAAAAGGTACTGCGTACGTAAACACATACAGAATCACCCAGCTGCCTACCCACTTAGCTCTGGAGCTCCACACATACGTAGATACATGAGTACATACGTACAGACATACAGACATACATAACATACATACAGACATGCAAACCTGCGGACATGCCGACATACAGACCTTTACAGGCATGCATCCATACTTAACGTACATGCGTAATTACCTACTTGCATACTTGCATACAGACACACACACACACATACATGCACACCGGCTTGCGGCAGGATGGCCTGCATGCGTAAGCATTGATAGGCCTCATGGGAGATGCATAATAGATGGAGGACATGTAGACCTGGCGCTACGACGATACAATGCTGTATTGTAGCTCCAGTTTGCGTGAGTCCGTAGCACCTATGAGCCCAAAAAGCGCGAACCCCAGCGCCAGGTATGCCCACCCTCGTGCCAAAGAGTTCTTCGCCACGCCAGAGCAACTCGAGGCAGGCCCATTAGAGTTTAGGGTTTAGGGGGCTTAGGTCCTTTATTTTCCGGGGCCCTGAAGTAATGTAGGAGCCTTGATGGAAAACGAGAAGGTATACTAAGGAGCCTGAAGGAATAGTATGAGTCAGCTTGTAAGAGGAAAAGAACTACAGTAGGACATCTTGCGCGATCGGCAGCAGGCAGAAGACGTCCGAATCTAGGGGACGCGCTTGAATCTCATCTCGTTCGTTTCCCTCACAGCAATCACGGCTGGCGCTGTTTCAGGAAGTTCTCATTCAGCTGGCGAAGGGCACTGTGCCGGACTCAGCCGCACCGACAATATCTGAACGCCAGGATGACCGTCGAAATGATCTCATGCTGGGAGCAGTCAGGCTAGCCACACCAGACGGCCTAAGCACACACAAGCAAACGCGGACACAAACACACACACACACACACACACCCAGATATTAAAAAAAAACAAACATATATATATATATATATATATATTCCTTGCAGCGCAAGACCCATGATCCCTCAACCCTAAGATCTAAGCCCTATGCCCCAATTAAGCCCACGTTCCTTGCAGGACAAGACCGATGATCCCATCCTGGGACCAGACGAGAAGTGTGTGTACTGGTATGGCGACGTCACGAAGGATGACCTTCAGGCTTGGAATGCGGCTTTTAGGGTTGAGTGTGTAGGGTATGCAGTTCGGTCGGTGTAGGGTTTGTGAGTTTAGGGTTCAGGGCCAGTTTAGGTTTCAGGGGCAGCTGCAGTCTGTTGATGTCATCTTTCAGGCGGCAATCCGCATGATCAAGCCAGGCGAGCAAGCTGAATCTGTTTCGGCCTGAGTTCCACAGTCAGGTTGCTTAACCCTAAACCCTAAACTCACTATAAACCCTAAGCCCTATAAACCCTATAAACTCTATAAACCCTATAAACCCTAAACCCTAAGCCAGGTTGCTTCTGTCATCCGAGAAAATTCGTCGGTAGGGCAGCTGCGTCCGTTCGCTTCCTTGGGAGCGCAGAATTGTTAAAGCTCAGGTGACATACGTGAATCGTGTCCTCGCATTCATCTTTGCCACGGACGATTCGTTCGTGCCTGGTCACAAAAGGCAAAATTGGCAAGCCACCTTTGCACGATGATGTCTAGCGTGCCTGCTGCTCCTTCTTTCTTTTGATTCGATCTAGCTGCGTAACTCGCGAGTTACATGGTCGGTTTCTGGCATGGTTAAAGCCCCCGACCACATTGAAATTGCCAACGCCATCCGTCTGAATAACCCCCTAAACCCTAAACCCCTAAACCCTAAAACCCTAAAACCCTAAAACCCTAAACCCCTCTGCAAGAGCACCAGGCCTGAATCCCTTGAACCTCATTGTCCTTCGATGGCTCAGGAGAAGCTCATGCAGCTTCCCAAGGAGCCCTTTAAGATGAGCTGCGGAGACCAGCTTTGTGTACCCTGGTATGAATAGTAATGTTTTTTGTTAATATTACTATTAATTATTCGTAATTATTAGTATCGTTCTGGAGTTATTGTTATTACTGCTCTTATAAATATTTTTGGGATTATTGTTTGTTAATATTCTGGATGGCACTCTTTTGCGTATTATTTGGATTATCAGTATCATGGTTTTCTTGACTGTTTGCTATGATTTTTCATTTTACTAGCATTATTCGTATTACTACTCTTATAGTCATAATATATTGCTATTCGAGAGCCAATCTATCCGAGGTGCACCTTGCACACATCTCGCTGGCGGTGTCTTAAATCCGTGTGTCTTGGCAAAAGCGGCCCAGACTGCTCAAAGATACGTGGGGGTTTCCGAAAATAGGGGACCCTCATATAGTACCCTAAATAATAGGATCCTTATTATAAGGACCCCAAAATAAGGTACCCGAATTTTTGGAAACTCCCAGAATTTTGGTGCGTTTGGGCTCTCTTGGTCTTGGGGCAGGTCTACCCTAAACCCTAAACCCTGAGTTTTGGTGCGTTGGGGCTCTCTTGGGGCAGGTCTAGCCAAGGCGTGAGCTCAGGTCCCTCACAACCTCTGCGGCTTTGGGGGCGGCTGTTGGGCCGCGGCTGAGGGAAACCGTAGAACCCAAGAAACGGCAAGGCTGGGTTTCAACCCACAGGACTAGATCAGGGAGTCTAATATAGGAACCTTATTAAGAAACCCTGGGTCCATGTTAGGGGTCTTTATATGTTTAGGGTTTAGGGACAACCTTAAGGACCCTAAACTATAATGGGTAATGCAGGAGCAACCGTAGTAAGGTGCTAAGTACCTTAATTGGGGCTATAGATTATCAGCAACTTCAAGCTCGCTACCTCGTTTATATCCCTAGGTACTAAGTCCCATGATCCTTTAAGTAAGGAGAAGGAACCCTTCAAGGAGCGTTCGCAAGGGAAGCCACGCAGATGCTCTTCAGCCAGGGTTCCACGGGCGTCATACATTCTAACAGCCGATAAATAAGGCCCTGAGATCATTTTTGACCTCCCCTAAACCCCAAAACCCGTAAAGCTTAGTCTGCAAGCTGCAGGGGATAGTTTCGGGTCTATGGGATGGGTGCATGGTAATCCTTATAATTTTGCCCCATGCCGCCCCGATAGTCCTTACAAACCCTAAAACCCCTAAACCCCTAAACCCTTTATTCGATTCAAAGGTAGCACAAAATTCAGCCTTGCCGTTTTACGCCGAAAGAGTGCTTCACACTTCTCCTGGGATCGGTCTTAGCGTGTGTCCTGCTTTCATCTTTGAGGTTTCGGGGTTAAAAAAGAGGCCTTAATAATTGGGATAGGGCTGTGGGGCCCGTTACACTACAAGGGACCCCCAAAATAGGCTAGACATGAACACGTGGAGGCAGGCTTAGGTTGAGCAAGATTCGAAATTCACGCCATGTGCCCTTGGCCCCGTGTGGACTTGTCCAGGGGGCCGTGCTTCCGAAACACTTAGTTCATGTTAATCCAGTAAGCACTCGTACAGCTGCACCCGTCAGTTCCTGCAATATCTGGACGCACTTGCCCTCAAACGTTGGTGATTCCGGAAGCACCTTGCTCAACGAATCTGACCTACAGCTGCAGTACAGCGGGCTGTTCTCGACAGAACAAGTGCCTCAAATGTGAGCTTTGCTGTTCGTCATCGCCGGACACAGCTGCTGAGAAGGGTGAAAAGTAAAAGGCTGTTGCGTGGGGGGCGGCCAAGGTTTCTTGCCCACAGTGTCAATGTAATGTGCTGGCTGCGCGTGACAACTGCCGTTCCCTGCATTTCAGACGTGTTGAATCTAAAATCACGGTTGGACATGCTCGTTCAGACTGACAACTCATGAACCTGTGTGTAATCGTTAGTTTTTTGAGCCGGAAGAAGAAGGGAGGAGGAAGGGGAGACAGGAGGAGGAGTTGCAGCAGCCGCAAGAAAAGAAGTAGCCCTAAACCCCTAAACCCTGAACCCCTAAACCCCAAACCTTCTAAATCCTGAACTGCTACAACCTAAACCCCTAAACCCTGAACCCCTAAACCCTAAACCCCTAAACCCTAAGCCTCTAAACCCTGAACCCTTAAACGCTAAAAATGCCTAAACCTTTGAGTAGGTCGCCGCGGCCGTCCGCAGCTTGGCCACGGCCCTTCGCTCGGGACCTCGCGATCGAACCACAGAGAGGCTAACCTGCTTGGGGGTTTAGGGGTCCCTTTAAGGGTTCCTTTAAAGGTTTAGGGTTTTAGGGTTTAGGGTTTTAGGGTTTAGGGCTTAGGGTTTAAGGGATCCTCAAAGGGTACGTTTAGTTTCAGGGATCTATAAAAGGTTTTAGCATTCCTTTTAAGGGATCCTTTACGGATACGTTTAATTTCAGGGGTCTATAAAGGGGTTGAGGGCTAGGGGTTTGAGTTTTGGGTTTCCTTTTAAGGGTTCCTTTAAGGGATGCTTTGGGGGTACGTTTACTTTCAGGGATCTATATCAGGGTTGAGGGCTAGGGGTTCGGGTTTTGGGGTTCAGGATACAGGGGTGAAGGGTTTTGGGGCTTCAGGGCTCCGGTTTATAGGGGTTTAGGCTTCAGGGTTTAAGGGTTTAGAGTTTTGGGGTTAGGGCTCAGGAAAAATAGGGTACCCTCAACTATCTGTATGGTCGGTATGTAGGTCTAGTACTTTTAGACTTCCGGGTGAGAACCCCTAGACCCTAAACCCCAACCCTAAACCTTATAAATCTTAAACCCAACCCAAAACCCTAACCCGGCACATGCGATCTTGACATAAAGGCCCCAACGGGGTTCACTTTTGTCTGACTCTTAAGGGTTCATTTTCTGAAAGACGCGTATGAAGTGAAGGGCTCGAGACTCGAAACCCAAAGCCTAAGTCCAACAAACAAAAGGCCTGTAGCGCAAAGCGTAGCAAACCCGAAAAGCCCTAAGTGCCACAGACCCTAAACTTTGAAACCCCTAAACCCTCAACCTTACAGATCCCTGAAAGGTACCTTTGAGGGATCCCTTAAAGGAGCCTCGATACCCCGAAGCAGTACTATTGAACCCAAAACCCTAAACCCTAAACCCTAAACCCTAAACCCTAAACCCCAATCCCTAAACCCTAAACCCTAAGCCCCTATCCCGAAACCCTTAAACCCTAAACCCTAAACCCCAATCCCGAAACCCCTAAACCCTAAACCGTAAACCCTAAACCCTAAACCCTAAACCCCTATCCCGAAACCCCTAAACCCTAAACCCCTAAACCCTCAACCCCTAAACCCTCAACCCTAAACCCCTAAACCCCAAACCCCTAAACCCTCAACCCTAAACCCTAAACCCCCAAAACCCCTAGACCGCTG